AAGCAGGCTGAGCAGGGGCCAGGGGAGCAAGCCAGTAAGCAGTGTTCCTCCATGGCCTGTGCTCCAGCTCCTGCCTCCAGGTTCCTGCCCAGAGTTCCTACCTTGGGTTCCATCACTGATGAACTGTGACCCGAGAGATGTAAGCTGAATAATAGTATTAGTCAGTGTTTTGTCACAGGTATTGCAAACAAGCCAGAACAGGCCTTAAGGAAAATCTTTAGGCACTGTATTTTGGATAATAACATAAATGTCTGTCTTCATTAATCACTTAAAACTCACCTTGAAATTTGTAGCTCTCACCTCTAGTTACAGTTGGGAATATTAAGAAAACAATACATATCTCCTTCCAATCCACTTACTGCACTGTTTGTAAGATGTGTATGGACCCCTGACACCTGGAAAAGCCTTCCTCACCTCACTGTGGGGCTGAAGGCAAGAGACTAGGGTTGAAAGGACCCCGGGTGATCAGGAAATCTTGACTGCAGTCTTCACTGCAAGTCCAAGGCTCCAAGGTCTTGGGGAAGGAGCATCCTCATTCCTGTCCCAAGGTTTCCATTTACACTAAAAATTCAGACAGCCATCTCTGCTACCCTGGTTGGCACCTCTCTCCCCAGCCACCTCCAACATGAAGATCACAGGGAGGTGAGATGAGACCTTGCTCTGGAGACAGTTGATACATAAATCGAAAGTGCGGTGGTGCCTTTAATATTAGAGCAGTGACCTTGGATGACCGCTCCCTCCAAGCTCCAGCCTCCTCCTATTCATCGGCCTCCTTGGTTGTCTGATTGTTGTAACATATTTACCATCCAGCCTTCTGTTATTTTTATCATATGGTTTGCCACCATCTGCTCTGCCCTTTTACAGATGACATTGCTCTTTGTAAGGTAAGGCCGGTCTGCTACCCCAGCTTTTATGCTTGTTTCTCCTACCAAGTAGTCCATCAGATGTGGTTTGGAGCAAGCGAGAGACAAATGACTGTGTAAATGAATGTTTATATAAAGGTGAGACAGAGAACAGACTTCATTCCTCATAAACTATAAAATATCTCTTGATATTAATCTTAATAAGATTATTGATCTATATTTTCATCTGATTCTTTTAAATGAGTGAATGAAAGACTGGGGGTGGCTCAGTCATTAAAGCACTTGCAGTACAAGCATGAGGACCTGAGTTCAAGTCTCAGAACCTACATTCAAAAGCTGGGCTTGGTGACAAGCTGTCAGTCAAATACACATGGAGCCCTGGGAGGATGCTGTTCAGTCAGCCTCACTTAATTGGTGGATTCAAAGAAAAAACATGAACAGTACCTGAAGGCAACACCTGAGGTTATCCTCTAGCCTACATGTGCGTGTGCATGCACACACACACACACACACAGACACACACACACGTGCCCATAAACACACATGCACCCACACCCCCATACAAAAATAAATAAACACACTTCTATTTTGATCACCTCTGGTGATAGCTTGGCTTTGTGGGGCATCCTGGGGGCCACTGACTGCCAAGCACTCCTCACTGGGTGTGTTTCCACCCCTGTCCTGAAGGCAGGGATGCCTGTGACATTCTTCTTTGTCTGTAAGTATCCAACACATCTCAATGGTTGTTAAAAGAAAATTTTCAGAAAAATGAAAAAAATCTTAATTCTCGTGCAAATGTAAGATGAAGATGTGTCAAAGATTTTACTTAACTCATTAATTAAAGAGCAAGGAAATCCTACGGATGCCACAACAAGTTCAAAGGCATCAAAGAAAAGTGAGTGCGGACTGGAGGAATGATGGAATGGTTGTTTAAACAAGGAGAGGTCATTTGAACATCGACGTGGTAGGATTATTTGCAGGTCTATACATCTTAATCATTTTGCTAATTATACTAATTTGACTTGTATGTCTTCGGTTCTCTACAAGACACAGATTGTAAAAACAGCTCATGGATGAAGGACAAGACTCAGAAATCCTAGAAGGGTGCCCTCTAAACAATGCATAATTTTCTGTTGGAGAAACCCAGTGATCTTCATTGCTTCTTCAAGTTTCCACACTCCACACAACAAAGTGTGACTTCCTACTGCCCATCCAGCTCCCTATTTACAGCAGCCCTTGGATGTCTCCAACCTACTCTGTAGTCTTCAGACCTCCATGGACACAGTCAGTCTTGACCTGATAGCAGGTCGTAGCAGGGCAGAAACTTCATGTTTCCCAGGGATTCAGTGGACCCATCTCCCTCCTCTCTGTTGAGTTTGTGCTTCACACTTTTCTTACCCATTCTTCAGATGGGGTCACCAATGTTCAGTCAGTTCATTTGAATGCAACTGGCCTCACTGTCTAGCTACAGCCAAGACTACTGCTTCGGCCAAAGCTACACAAAGATACAGGAAATGTCAACCTCCTGGTTTAGTGAAATGAAGTCATGGCAGGCACTGCCCAGGCACTGTTTCCTCGTTCATCCGTCTACAGAAACTTACTACGTCCCCAGTTCATCATTATTACTACAGGGCTCCCTCACCGCAGGAGTAGCCAAGAGGGTCCAATTGAAAAAGCAAAGCCAGTTGTCTTGATGTCTTCAGAAATCAAGGGTGAGAAATTGCTTTGTCACATGTGGGGGCTGACCAAGCAAGTCTCCAATCCCCAGGGAGCACCATCTAGAAAAGCAGGCTGGAGCTGAGGCTCTGGTCCAAAACATACAATACAGGTCCAACTGAGGGTCCGGTCCACAGTCACAAGTTCCTCTTCTCTCCAAGAAACTTCCTTTAGCATTTAAGGAGTCTTAACTCCAGGATCCTTTTGTTAACTTAAAGCCAACTGACTGTAGTTACATCTACAGATAGATCTTCACAGCAACATTTAAAGTTTGGCAAGCGAGAGTCCGTGGCCTAGCTAAGGTGGCTGGACATTTGAGAAGTGAATGGTTGACCTGATGTGTCACTCACGTTGTCGTCTGGTGAGCAAACAACTTGATGCATAGAAACCAAGGACCCTGGATCCCAGGCTAGCCTCGGTTGCTGGGACCATCAGACTTGCTGTACGCATGCTCATTTATTAAGCTGAGCATATGTGAATTCTGTAGATGCCTGGCTTACTGCGCTAGTTAGAGGGCCACGTCTTATATATGTAAAAGGAGACATTAGTGGTGTTTGTACTGGTGACTAACTTCAAATACAGTGTATTTCTTATAGTTTCCTTTCAACGAAGCATCCTCATTATTTAACAGATACTGTGATGTGACCTGGTGCATGACAGGAATGGACAAGATTCGTTCCTCTCTCTTCTGATGCATCCAGTGCCAGAATGGCAATTCCACAAGGGAGGAGGAAGGTGCCAAACTGGAGTTTATTGGAACTTGTTTAGGGTCCTATGCAGGTACCAACCACATGGTGAGAACTGATTCTCCTCTTGCCTAGTTCTGAAATTCAAAGACTCTGAGGCTCTACCAGGTAGGAAAGATAAATCTTAAACTCTCAATTTGGAGAATTTACATATGGCAAATTTCAGCTTTTGTACAGCCGTGTCTTTACTCGTAAGAATCTGCACCCAGTGCTTCCAGAACAGGGTTCTACTAACGTCATTGGGGTGTGGTGAGGAGGGACAGTGCTCCTTCAAATCAAAGAGCAGTCACTTGCTGATCTTCAAGGTACCGAAAGGATGCATTGCTGAAATCATCTCTGACTTGATGAAAGTCACTCCTCCACCGTATAAAAATTGCCCCACCCTCACCACAGGACTGTTTTTATTTTCACACACATTTCTTTTTAATTTTGTTCATATACTGAACACATTGATTTTTTCAAGCATGAAGCCAGCTTTGCATTTGCCTTTGTCTCCCCTCACTAACAAAACATTGTCACTTTTGTATGTTACGGAACTCGACTTACTACAATTCTAAGTTTTTACCACATACTTTATTGGGTTGGCTCTCATCCCATCTCCTGCCCCTTTCTCCACTGTACCCTGTGGTCCTAGTATTTCCTCTCCTACTGTTCCGTCCTCTCACTCACCCCCTTAAAGCCTCTTTTGTTCTAGTTCCCTGACCTTTACCCACACTTACTCTCACCTACATTCACATATTTAACAGCTAGATATTAGGATTCACAGGTGAGAAAGGACTTATGGCATTTGTCTTTCTGAACCTGGGTTACCTTTGCTTACTATAATGTTTTCTGTTCCATTCATTTTCATGCAAATTTTTCATTCTTCTTAGATCTGAGTAAAATTCCATTGTGTATATGAACTACATTTTCATTATCCATTCATCTGTTGATGGACATCTAAGCTGATTCCATTTCTTAGCTATTGTGAATAGAGAGGCAATGAACATGAATGAGCAGGTGTCTGACTAGGATGCAGAGTCCTTTGGGTGTATGCCCAGGAGTGGCATAGCCAGGCCATGTGGTAGGTCTCTATCCATAAAATACCACAACCAAGAACCACTTAAGGAAGAAAGGGTTTATTTGAGCTTCCAGTTCCCAAGGGATCGAGCCCTTAATGGTGAAGTCAAGGCAGCAGGTGCATGAAGCATAGAGATCACATTTCATCCACACACACAGGAAGCAGTGAGAGGGAGAACAGAAAGAGGGGAGAAGCTAAGACCCTGTGATCCACTTCCTCCCGCAAGGCCACACCTCCTACAGGTTCCATAACCTCCCCAAACAGCACCACCAACTGGGGACCAAGTGTTCAAATACATGACCCTATGGGGGACATTCTTAATTCAAACCACCACAAGGTCTGATTTTATTTTTCTAAGACGCCTTCAGACTCATTCCCATACGGGTCGCACCAGCTAATGCTCTCACCAACAGTGGATAAGTGGTCCTCTTTCCCCTCGACCTCAGCAAGCATTTGTTGTCGTTTGTTCTCTTTTTTCATGTGTTATATATTTTTATAGAATTCTTGTGCATTTCATGCATCTTAATCATATTTAGACTCCCCTCTCCATCTGCACTCCCCAGTAGCCCCCTACTGGATTTCATGCATTCTGTCATATGTATTAAAGGCCTATCAAAAAATATGGAATGCTTCACAAATTTTCATACCATCCTTGCACAGGGGCCATGCTAACCTAAGCTGTATCTTTCCAGTTTGGGAGCATGTGCTGCTGAATCAAGCTCTCACTTGTTTTCTTGATGGTGCCCATTCTGACTGGAGTGAGATGGAATCTCAATTTAATTTGCATTTATCTGCTGCCTAGAGATACTGAATGCTTCTTCTTATGTTTTTATTGGATTGTTGTGGTTTTCATATATATAATATAATCCCCTATTTGCCCCTGTCCAATTTAATGTTCTCTAGTATATAAAATATATAACCTATAGAGTCTAATTTGTGTCTCCAAATGTTCTTGAGTGTGGATCTATTCATTGGAGCCTGGTTAATCTACCAAGAGTCCCATGCTTGAATGAGACTGTCTCTACCCCTCCCAGCAACCATCTAGATGAGCTGGAGCTTCTTACCCATTTCATCATCTCTATGCTGGGATTTTTTTCTGGTTTGAGCTCAACATGGGACTTTTGCATGCTGTTACTGTTGCTGTGAGTTCATATGAGTAACTGACTGGATGTCTGGAAAACTCTGTTTACTTGTGGTCATCCACCACCTCTGACTCTTATAAACTTCCCTCCCCCTTCTGCAATTATTCCTGTGATTTGGAGGATAGAAGTTTGATATAAACATTCTATTCAAAGGTAAGCACTCTGAAGCCTCTTGCTAGCTGCACATTTGTCAGCTGTAGATTTCTGTGTTAACCACTATCTATTGCATAAGGGAACTTCTCTGGTAAGAGTTGAGAGATGCATTAATCTATGGATATAATAGCAAGTCATTGAAAGTCAGTTTAATACAATAATCATTTAGTAGAAAACTAGTATTGGATTCTACCCTATGTCTGGTCTAGTCTCAAGTTCCTAAGGCCAATATCAATGTTAGGTATGGGCTCCATCCTAGGAAGCAGATTTTAAATCCAACTGAAGAGTGGTTGGTTACCCCCCATAATATATGTGCCACTATTGCACTGATGGGCTTATCTTGCCAGGTCAGTTATAACTGTAGTTTACAGCTGGGTAAGGATGATGATTATTTTTAAAATATTTATTGATCATTTGCATTTCTTTTGAGAACTGTCCAATTCATTGACCTGTTTATTGCTCAGCAGTTTGGGGGACTTAGGGGTGTTTAATATCTGTAGTTCTTTATATATTTCTAGATATGAAGATCTGCTCTGAAGTAGAGCTAGCAAAGATTTTCTCCCATTCTGTGGGCTGTCTGTTCAGGCTGTTGGTGGTTTCTCTGGCTGTACAGAAGTTTTTAGAATTTTGTATAATCCCATTTGCCAGTTGGGTTCTGTTCAGGAAGTTCGTGCCTCTACCTACATCCTGGAGTGTTTTTCCTTAGCAATTTCTGTTTTTCAAGTTTAAAATTAAGATCTTTGATCCAATTTGAGTTGATTTTTATGCAGAGTTACAGATAATTTTATTCTTCGGCAGGAAGATATCCAGTTTTCCAACAACATTGACTGAATAAGCTGTGTTTTTCAGTAATTTTTTTACATCTTTGTCAAAAATTAGGTGTCGATAGCTGTGTACATTTGTCACTGGGTCTTCTGTTATGTTTCAGAAGCTTACACGTCTGTTTTGTACAAGACCATGGCGTGCTGTCTTTATCACTATGGTGCTGTAGCAGTTTGAGGTCAGATAATGTGATACCTCCAGCCATGTTTTCTGCTTAGAACTGCTTTGACCACCTGCGGTCTTCTGTGTTTCCATACAAAGAATGCCACTGGACTTTTGAATGGGATTGTGTTGAATCTCATAGATTGCATTTGGCAGTATAACTGTTTCACCACTTTAATTCTACCAGTTCAGGAGCATGGAAGGTATTTCCATTGTTTCCTACCTTCCAGTGTCTTAAAGTTTTCTTTGAAGAGGGCTTTCATCTCCTTTTTAGGTTTATTCATGTGTGTACAGGTATGTATATGTGTGTATTGATTCCTGGAAGCTTATTGGCCAGCAAGCCTAGCCAGCTTGAAAAAGCTCCAGGCCTCTCTCAAACAAAAAGTCAGGGCTATTGTGATTGGAACATTCTTCCTGATTTCTTTCTCAGCAAGTTCGTTGTTGATGTATATAAAAACTACTGATTTTTGTATGTTGATTTTGTATCCTGAAACTTTACTGAAGGTGTTTATCAGATACAATGGTATTTTGGTGGAGTCTTTGAGGTCTTTTCAGTATAGAGTCACATCATCTACAAACAGGGAGAGCTAGTGCTTGAAGCCTTAGCTAGAGCAGTAAGACAAAAGGAAGATATAAAAGTGATAAGAACTAGAAACCAACTTAAACAAAGCTCTTGATTCTTTTAAAAATATTTTTAGTAATTTGAGAATTTCATACAACGTATTTAATCATATTCAGACCCCTCCACGCCTACCACTGCTCCCGACTTCATGTCCTCTATCATTATTTGCCTTTTTTTAAGGCCTACTCTGGGTTTCCAAAACGCTCTTGGGTGTGAGTCTCTTGGAATCTGGTCAGTCTACCAGGAAACATACCAGAAATAAGCTTTCAATTGTCAATAGATCCTCAGTTAGTACTGTGGCTTTCTGCCCACATCCCCCATCCATGCTGGGCCCCTGACTGGCTTGAGTTTGCACAGACCTTGTGTATGCTGTCGTAAGTGGTGAGGGTTCATATGTGCAACTGTCATGTGGCATCCACACATCAGTTTCCCGCCACCTCCTCTGGCTCTTACAGTCTTTCTGCCCCTCTTCTGCAATGATCCCTGAGCCTCGGGAAAAGAAGGTGTGATATGTGTGCCCCATTTAGGGCTGAGCACTCCATAGTCTCTAATTTTCTGAACATTGACCAGTGTGGGTCTCTGTTAATCACCATCTTCTGCAAAAAGAAGCTTCTCTAGTGAGAGCTGAGAGATGCACTAATCTGTGAGTATAACAGTAAGTCCTTAGGAGTCAGTTTAATGCTATGCCTACTTAGCAGAATGATAGTATTGGGTTCTCCCCCACAGCCTATGACCTGTCTAACCATAGGTTCTTGGCCCTGATGACAGTATCAGACATGGACTCCATCTTGTGAAGCAGGCCTTAAAAGATTAGAGCCCTTGATTCTTAACTCAGTCACTAAATTTTAAGATGTATCAAAAACTCACAGCTCAGGGTTTGAGAGATGGCTCAGTGGTTAAGAGCACTGGCTGCTCTTGCAGAGGACCCTGAGTTCAGTTCCCAGCACCTGCATAGTGGCTAATAACTGTCCATAACTCCAGTTTCAGGGGAATCTGGCGCTCTCTTCTGACCTCTGCAGGCATTGCATGACATGGGTACACTTACATACATGCAGGCAATACACTCATACACACAAAAGTCCACTGTTCTTGGGGCAAGTTCCCAAGTTCATACATTCAAAAGCATCAACAAGAGTGTCTTGTTCCTCACTCCTTCACAGGGTATTTTTATCCAGCTCAAAGTAGGATAATGTGAGCAAGTTCTTTCCATGTTGAATCCCCCATTTGTGAAGTGGTTAATTATATAAACTGCAAGGGATCTGTAAAGGCCATAGTTTCTACCTGTGGTTTTAAAGCAGGGAGTTTGGGCTCCACAAGAGGCAGCTCAAGTTTGGAAAGCCCAGACTCACTGCCTTCCTGGAAGCACATTTTGCCTTTCTCTTCTTCAATTCTTTGCAAAATGGCCAAGAACTGAAAACAGGCAGGGCGGCACAGAGTAGCAAAAGATAATCACAATGGCCTGAGGGTACCTGTGTGGTTATAGCAATGAGTCATTAGGAGTCAGTTTAATACCATGTCTGTTTAGCAAAATAATAGTAGTAGTCTCTCCCAAATGAAAGGTGCATAAGGGGGTAGGACAGTTTGAATGGGAGAATGGGAGAATGGGAGGGTAGGGCAGAAAAACGAGTAAGAGGAGGGATAAGCAACACTAAAGGCCTTTTGTAAAAAGTCACATGGAAACTACTGTAGAAGCTTCTTTCATATATACATATACAATATAGAAAGGTTAAATGGAGTTACCCTATAACAGGGGTTCAATGGCTGTACTCGTCACCACAGGCTAGCAAATAAGAAGCCCAATGCCAGGAATGGGCTCTCTCTTTTGGAGTTGTTGACCAGGGAGGTCTCATAGACCCTCAAACAAAACTGGCTACTGACATTGCACTTGATTACTCAGCAGAACTTGACACTAAGACTCTATTTCTGAAGACACCAGGTATGTGAGTCATTGAACAAACAAGGAGAAATCAAGCTCATATTGACCATGGAGCGTCATCTCTGCTGGCTAACTTTCATAGTACTAGAAGGTGCTATGCATGTTACTGGCAGAGAAAGATAATTATCAGTATCACCCAGCTGTGCACCCTGTGAGCTACAATAGCATCTGGCTTGGCAAAATAGACCCACTGGTGCAACAGTGGCACAAATGTTATTTGGAGCAACCAACAAGCTTCTGATTGGACTTAGTCCACTTCACAAGATGGAGTCCATACCTTACACTGCTATCAGGGCCAAGAATTGTGGCTAGACAGGTTAGATTTTTGTCTTTTAAGCCACTGAATTCTACACAGATCTTGCTGGTCTCAGTAACTCATTGCTTAATTCCATTTACGTTTCATCTTTTACCTGATTTGTTTTGGCAATGTGCTGTATTTGAGGTGATTGAGACTGTAATGACTAATCTTTGAGTTTTTTGTTTAGGGTTTTTTTAGTGTATGTGTGTTTATTTGTGTTTGGGAAGTATGCACCTGCTTATAGAGGTCAGGGGACAACTTCAGGATAACTTCTTCCATTTCCATTGACCTGGAATGTCATCATGATGGCTAAGCTAGCTGGCCAGCCAGCTTCTGGGTGTCTGCCTGCCCCTGCTTCCCAGCTTCTGATTCCTAGGCACCACCCCTGGCTTTTCACATGGTTATAAGGATCCACATTCAAGTCCTCGTGCTTCTGAGGCAAGTGCTTTTTTACTTAGCCATCAACCTGACCCAGGGTCAACACAATGGGATCTAGACGCAAATAGAAGACAGACCTCTGAGTATGTCTATTTGAGAGTTTGTCCCCAAAAGCTTAACTGAGGGAGGAAGACCCACCCTGAATGTGG